TAGATTTAATTTTCAAAGTCACACTCAGAATCCCTAGTGGACGGATGTGAATGAATAAGGAGGTGGTTTTACCTGACAACATCCATTGAACTTGCTCCAGATTTGAAGAAGTCTGTTGAGTCTTCAATAACAGGAACATTGCTTAAAATTCCAGCCCAGATGACCTACGCCATAAGAATAACTTTTATGAGGGCTGTACCATGTAGAACCCTGGCAGAGATATCTGGCTCCTCAGCAAACCGATTTCTTCTTCATCTTGGATACTTGACTTCCCTCCTCAGCATCTCTTCAAGTTAGATGCAGCTTTAAGACTGTCATCTAGACAATGAATCTGAGTAGAAGGGATCTGCACTCCGGCCTTGGCCCTTGAAAAACTTCCCTCACACAATTCTCTATGCTCTTTTGCCCTCTGGGCTGTCTGGAATGGAGATGACCCCCCTTGGAGACAGCAGAACCTCTGAGTCCCTGAATACGTCAAACCCTAATCCTCTTGTTCCAGCTTTTCCCCTAATTCCTATGCCAACCTGAAACTGCCTTGGATGATTTATGTGAGTGGAAAATAAATCCGCCTATAAATGTTGGGGTTGACTTCTTATTGTAGCTAATACAAAAAAAACAAAAACAAAAACAAAAAAAAACAGAGGAAATACACTTCCATCTCCACTACTTGGAGTACTGATGGCACCACATACAAAAATGCTTCCCTTTTCCAAGACAGGAGAAATAGTGCGGACATTTCATGCTCACCTTGATGGTCTCCGCCACCTTCTTCTCTTCGGCTGTAAGTTCCACCACTGCTGTCTCACCCGCTGAAAAGTACTGAGAGGCAGGAATCATTTTTCCATCTTCAAACTGTAGATTTCTCACCATCAGCTACAAAAGGAGGAGGAGAGTGAAGGGTTCGGACAATTCCAAAGTGCGGTTGGTGGAAGAAGGAATCATATATTTAAGGAGTAGATTGTTTGGCAGATGCAAACATATAGATGAAGACGACTTACCATTATGTGTATAGGGACTGAAATAGTATTTTAACAATGGCAGCAGAATGGAGACAGTTAAGTACAACCAATGGACATAAAACTCTGGGAAGGGAGGGTATGTATGAGAGGGAGGGAGGGGGGCAAAAAAAATCAATAAAATATATTAAAAAAAATAAAAAATAAATAAAGACTGGAAGTATTAAAAAAAAAAAAGAAAAAAAGAAAGGAGACAGGTAAGTCTAGGCATAGATACATCTCAAAATGGATAATAAGCCCCTGAAACTTGACATTTGATGTGGATATTTGAACTAAAATCTACTATAACCACTGCCACTGCCATCATCTGAACATTTACTCCAACATGTACATGTATGTATGTATATGCTTAGTATGCATATGCTGAAGTATCTTATTTAATCTAATAACTCCTAATGGAGGCAGGTGCCATTATTAGCTCTATTTTATTGATGGGGAAGTGAGGTTACTGAGGGTAAGTAATTTGCCCAATGCCACACAGCTAGTAAGTAACAGCTGAGGTTACAACCCAGAACTAGCTGGACTCTGAAGCCTGCAATATTAATAATTGATCTACCCTGCAAGCTAGCAGAGAATGTCTGTCACGTGGCGAATTCCCTTTTGCATTCTTCATGGAGAAGCTGTCATGAGCCCACTGATGCCAGAGCCCATGCTCCCAGGCATAGGGCACCTGCCTGGTGAGGCAGAGGCAACGAGCATCTACAAGAGGACCACATCGGACTCATTTGATCCTCCCAGACTCTGGCAGTGGGAAGGCAGACAGATGGGATTACTCTCTCTGTTTCATAAGTGGGGAAACTGAGACCCAGAGGGAGAAGCATCCTTCCCAAGACCGGTAGATGGCAGAGCAGGGACTCAGATCCCGTTTTCTGACTAAATTCCATGCTCTTTCTATTGCATTGCAACGCTGACTGTTCAGATCCTTGGTGCCATCCTGGGAGCCTTGCTCTCATCCAAGCACATCAAGGTGTGAAAAACAGAGAAAAATGGGCACAGGTGTCTTGAGCCTCCCACATCCCACTGCAAGGTCAGATTATCTTGGGAAAGATATTCCCTGAATAGCTTGGGGTAGCCCTAACTGGTTTGGCTCATCGGATAGAGTGTCGGCTTGTGAACTCAAGGGTCCCAGGTTCGATTCCAGTCAAGGGCATGTACCATGGTGCGGGCACATCCCCAGTGGGGACTGTGCAAGAGGCAGCAGATTTGGTGTTTCTGGCTCTCTCTCCCTCTCCCTTCCTCTCTGTAAAATCAATAAAAATATTTAATTAAAAAAATAGCTTGGGCCGAAGCCGGTTTGGCTCAGTGGTAGAGCGTCGGTCTGCGGACTGAAGGGTCCCAGGTTCGATTCCGGTCAGGGGCATGTACATTGGTTGCGGGCACATCCCCGGTGGGGGGTGTGCAAGAGGCAGCTGGTCGATGCTTCTCTCTCATCGACGTTTCTAGCTCTCTATCTCTCTCCCTTCCTCCTCTCTGTGAAATATCAATAAAATATATTTAAAAAAAAAATAGCTTGGGGTATAGAAGGAAACAAAGCGCGGGGGGGGGGGGGGTATATTTTACAGGTGACCACATTGAACACTCACTGCTTTCCCATCGTTACCAAAGAGAACCAGTCCATGTTTGGTAACCAGGCCAGGCTTCTTGGCACCTTTCATCTCCAGTGGTTCTCCAGGCGGCACGGGGCTATTCAGCAGCGAAGAGCCATAGAATGTGACCATCTAATAAAGAGATCAAACCCAGAGTGTGAGGTGGGGAAGATGCAGCTCTGAACGGGTGTGTACGAACAACACTCCCTGCAGAAATGCTGGAATTCTCACTCCTGATAAGGTCAGACACCCCAATGTGAGAGATTGTACCAAGCATCTGTAGAAATTACACAGAGCAAGAGGTAGTCTGCAACTCTATGACTGAAGAGTTTAAAACAATGTCCCACACCCAGAAAACATGAGTAGAACATTTATCATTTATTCACATGGATGCAAAGGTGAATGAGATGAGAAGCTCTCACAGACTTTGCAGGCTGGAGGTAGAGTTTTTGAGGGGAATGGAGGTGTTGGGGGGGGGGAGGGGTGTATTCCAATATATTGTGATTATTGATGGGAAGTACAGGGTGTTTTGTGGGTGAGATCATGGAAATAGGACTGGATCTAGACTGTAACCAAGAGAACTCGTTATTAACTGATTGGTTATTATAATTTTACTAGAGGCCCGGTGTGTAAAATTCATGCCCAGGGTGGGGTGGGTGGTCTCCTCAACCCAGTCTGTACTCTCTCCAATCTGGGACCCCTTGGTGGATGTCTGACTGCCAGTTTAGGCCTAATCCCCTACAGTTGGACAATCCTCTCACAATCCTGGACCACTGGCTCCTCATTACTCACCTGCCTGCCTGCCTGGTCACCCCCAACTGCCCCACACTGCTGGCATAGTCACCCCTCACTGCCCCCACTGCCAGCCTAATTGCTCCCAACTTCCCCCCCTACTATCCTGGTTGTCTCCAACTGACCCCCCTTGCTGGCTTGGTCACCCCTCATGGCCTGCTTCCCCCTCTCCTCCTGCTGGCTTGGTTGCCACATGCAGCCTGCTTGTTCAGTCGTTTGGTTGTCCCTCACTAACCCCCTGCCAGCCTGGTCGTAGGCAGCCATCTTGTGAGGGCATGAGGGTTAATTTGCATATTACCTCTTTATTTTATAGGATTACTATCCTCTGTCATTTACTGAGGACAATAAAGTTAACATTTGCTGAATACTTTTGGCAGGGACCAAGCACTTAAATGAATTAACTTGTGTTAACTCATTTAATCTTCACGCAACCCATAACCTATAAAGAAGGCACTATTATTCCAGTTTACAATAAGAAAACCAAGGTACACGAAGGTAACCTGCCCCAGGTTACATAGCAAATAGTAGAGAGCCAGAATTTTAACTGAAACATTCCACACTCACTGCACTATACTTCCTCCCTTGATCCCACATATTTTTTATTTTATTATTACTTTTAAATATATATATTTTTTATTGATTTCAGAGAGGAAGGGAAAAGGAGAAAGAGATAGAAACATTAATGATGACAGAATCATTGATTGGCTGTCTCCTACTAGAGATAGAGCCATCACCCCAGGCATGTGCCCTGAAGGGAATTGAACTGTGACCTTCTGGTTCATAGCTCGATGCTCAACCACTGAGCTGTGCCAGCCGGGCGTGATCCCACATATTTTTATTGGCACCTCATATGCACTAAGAACCCTGCTTCAGTGCTGAGTTTATCAAGACAACGTGAAGCCCTTATCCCTAAAAGGTTCATAGACTAGTGGAAGAGAAGGGCTAGGTAAATAAAGAGACACTGTGTCAGGTAGGAAGGGTATTGTTGGGACAGAGAGGAGGGACCCTCAACTTCACCAGGCTGGACGTGTGAGCAGGACAGGAAACTTCTTTTGAAGAGGTGCAACCTGAGAACCAGAGTTGAGATTCCCCAGTTGAGAAGGCCCTTCCCGCTCCGGTCCAGCCCACCTCCCTGCCTCATCTCTCCCCTTGCCTCTCACCTGGGGCTCCGGCTTCATTGCGAGTTTGGGGTAATACATTCTCCTGTCCCTGGGTCTTCACCTCCTTTTCTTATTCTCTACCTGTGACCTTTTCTCAACGTGCAATCAAATAAGTCAGCTTTTCCAGGAAGCCTTTCCTGACACACCTGAATCTGGGCCTCAGGGACGTATAGCACTTGGTCTTACTGCGTTATGTGTGTTTATTCACTTCTCTGCCTTTTCCGTAAAACGGCAGGCACCGTGAGAGCAGGGGCTGTGCCTACTGTCTGCTCCACAGCAAATGCTCTCTGTGGGCTGAGTAAAGAAGGGGGTGTTTCCTTCAGCAGGTCACATATCCCTAGAATCACAGACCCTCCACATGACCAAGGGAAGCCCAGAGGAAGCCTAGACTTATGTGTCATACCTCTTACAATGGTGACATAAAAAAAAAAAAAAAGTGGTTCCTACCCCATGCGTCTTTGGGACCTGTCAACTGTGGCCGCCTCCCTTCTTAGCCGTGGAAGAGCATTTTTATTTATTTATAGCAAAGCTGTCACCATTTAATTGGTATCAGATTCTGACTTGCACGAGTAACATTCTTCACTTTTAAAACCCTGGAAGGTGCTGGGTTATTGCGCAAAGGTCTATTTTTCAAACGTTTCTGCAAAGTTGACCTAATTATTGCAGTGGGTGATGGAAAACATAAGGGATCAAAAAAATCCAGTGACATGGGCGAATCTTCTTTAGCTTCCTTGCAATGCACAGGACAAACGTGATTTCTAGTCAACAGGTCCAGGATTGAGTAGGAAATGATGTGATGGGACAAAATAATATTCTGGAAACCATAGGGAAAGTATTTTCAATAAAGGCCTTGTTAACATAAGAAACATTCAAACCAGTTAAAAAAAAAAAGAAAAGAAAGTGGTCCCTAGAACATACCTGTCCATTTATCTCTGTCCAAGCGCCAGGGACTTTATCATGGCCTCGGATCCAGTTATGTAAAACTTCAGCAGACTGATCCCAAGAAATCTAGGAAAGCACAAAGCTCAGGCTGAACCTCTTTTTTTTTTAAATTAAAATATATTTATATATATATTTTATTGATTTTTTTTTACAGAGAGGAAGGGAGAGAGATAGAGAGCTAGAAACATCGATGAGAGAGAAACATGGATAAGCTGCCTCCTGCACACCCCCCACTGGGAATGTGCCCGCAACCAGAGTATATGCCCTTGACCAGAATCGAACCCGGGACCGTTCAGTCCGCAGGCCGATGCCCTATCCACTGAGCCAAACCGGTTTCAGCAGGCTGAACCTCTTGATGTTGACAGTGTAAAAGGCAACGGAAACATTTCTGTCCCTCAGAAGTAGAAGTAGGGGTGGTTGGGCTGGCTGGCTTGGAGATCTGCCTTTGGACCCCAAAAAATAGTACACTGGGAGCCAAAGGTTGAGGGCCATATAAGTGGTTGAGTTTTGTTGGTATACATACCTCAGCATTTTCCTTTTTCTGGATGCCTTCATACGTTGCCCCTTCTTCCGGCTGGGGAATCCGAGGAGCTTTTCCATCGGCTATGAGTTGAACAGCTTCCACCTAAAGCCGGAAACGTGACCTGTGTTACAGCCCAATGGGCAACAACAGCGCGATCTGTTTAGCTGAAGTTTCTGCTCTGCAGAAGTACTGCTTATTAATCTGTCCAGAGAGTCAGACTATGATAATAACTAGCATTTCTGCAGATCTGTCTATGTGCCAGGCAGTGTGGTAGTTGCTTCATGTGAAATAACCCTGGCAACTTCACACCCATCCTGCAAAGTGGATACTAGTATTCCTTTCTCACAGATGAGGAAACGGAGTCTTAGAAAAGTTAAGCAGCTAGCTCAAGATTGCAGAGATGGCCTATGGGTGTCAGAAGAAAGATCTGCATTCAAGTCTGTCTACTGCCCATATCAACTCTGTACTTCCTCTTTAAACAAATTTCAACCTCCCCTAAGTGATTCAATGGAGATTTCAGGTATATTATTGTACAATAAGTCATGATGGGTTATTTCTTCTCTTCTTGGTGATTCCAGACAGCGATACACTGCTATATGTAAGTAATTCAACTCGTTTTCTAGTTTAGGACACCTGGAAGTTTAAAAAGTTAACATCTACCCATGCGTTTGATTGCATTTGGGATGTGTCCTACATGCTCTTCCACGTTATATTTACATTTATGTTTGTCTTGAGTGGAGAGCCTCGCTCTTTCACTGGGAGGCCTATGTGAGCTCACGTTCTCAGATTTCACTCTAACCACTCAGAGCTGCTGACCAACCTCCCCAAGAGCACATGGAGCAAACCACCTGGGAATAAGGACAAGTTTACAGCTCACTCATTCTGCCCACTTCAGGCTGTAATATCACCTGGGCTTGGGTACAGGAGCCAGATTTGAAAAAATGCAACTGAACACATACAACACTATTTTGATTGTATTATGTAATTATTATCTTTGAGCACCTATCATATGCCAGGTTCTTTACACAAATGCCATTTAATTTTCACAACAACTATCCATCAGGTAGTATTATCTAGATTTTATAGATAAGGAAGCCAAGTGACCTGCCCATTGTCACACAATAAATAAGTGATAGAATGAGAACTTTGGTATCAATAAATCATTAAATGATACAAACAGAATACTGCTCTCCTCCCTCTGAAATCAAGGGCTGATGCTTTACATCATCTTACTGTCCACCTCTGTGTTGCTACTTCTACCATATCAAACTCTGGAAAACATTAAATAACAGTAAAATTATCGTTCAATACTTTTACAGGCTAACATAGTTTTTCTTTGTGAGGTACCTGTTCTGACCACATCTGAACAATAGAGCAACACCAAATTTCACCTCATTATGTAGAGTGATTTCAGATACTTTTACAGGAAGTTCAAATTACTTAGCAAAATTTCTTAAGATTCTTTGTACTTCTTTACAATTAGTGTTATAAACAGAGTTGGAGATTCAAGTATTTGGCAAAATAATTGAGACAGTTTGATTGCTAGTTCATCCATTTGATCATTGCATTCAGAAAAGCAAATCCGCTTCATTGACTAGAAATTTTAAAGTTCAGATATCCACTCTAAATACACTATCCTACTGGTAAATATAAAATTTAATTATACTTGGATTTGCATTTTTAGTAAAAATTCCTAAAAAGAAAAATACTTCAAAATTTAAAGGTTTACTAAATTCTTCTTGATGGCGTAAACGTACTGACCATGGCTTTGATTCCTTCAGGAAAAAGAAATCTATTATATATTGCATCCACTGTATCATTGGGTTCAACATCACATGACCTCTGAAGAAGGATGGGTCCTGTGTCTAAACCATCATCAGCCCAGAATACAGAAAATCCAGCCTTCTTATCTCCCATAATTAGAGTCCTGTGAAAATAAAGAGTCTCAAATGAAAAGTTTGGTCAATTGTATCATAAAATGTTGAATTAGTGATAGTAAAGCACAAGGTAGTTACAATGGAGAGTTGATGGTGAATGAAGCTACTGTGAGATTTAAAAAAAAAATTTTTTTTATTGATTTCAGAGAGGAAGGGAGAAGGAGAGAGAGAAAGAAACATCAACGATGAGAGATAATTCATTGATCAGCTGCCTCCTGTACACCTCACTTTGCGGATGATCAAGCCCGAAACCCGGGCATGTGCCCTGATCAGGAATTGAACCATGACCTCCTGGTTCCTAGGTCAATGCTCAACCACTAAGCCACACCACTGGGCTGTAAGATATTAACAATTTTTATTTATTTATAAAAAGCAATATTTAATGGCACTGCTATTTTATACATCCATACATCTCTAGTCTTGTTAACACATACTAATGACTTACAGTCTACTAAAAAAGGTATTAGAGACCATCATTACTACCACTCACTGACTACCTGGTGTCGGCTTTCTACAGCAGCATCAAGTAATTTTACCCACTGGGGTTCAATTCTTACATTGTACTTGACCCTTTATTAGGCAGAATAAAATAATGGAAGATAAAACTAAGGATGCTTAGTGCAGTGTGAAGAGGAGAACTGATTGTTAATTTAAGTTGTGCAACACAGGAATAAGCTAGAAGTCTGCATAAATTCTAGTAAAAGATGGTTGATTAATTCAACTAGGATTTGTATTTTGGGCTCTATAAAGCCTAGCTTAAGAGAAAATGCCATCCCTATGGGAGTTCATAATACATATGAACTGGGCTTGTGGACAAATAGAATCATATCAGAGAGCAGGCTAATATAGACTGAGCATGAAGTGGTAGATCAGCCATGTCCATGATCAAAATAATTTTTACTTCTCTGAGCAATTAATCAAGCCAGACCTAAATAAATCAACCAATCAATCACTTTTTTCAGAAATGTTGTGGAATTGGCTTTATGTTACCAAGATCCTTGAAAATATTCATATATTTTGACCCCATGATTCTCTGTGTAGAAGCAATGTAAAATGAAAAAAACAAAACAAAACACAAAAAACAAGTTTAAGGCCGAAACTGGTTTTGCTCAGTGGATAAAGCGTCAGCCTGTGGACTGAAAGGTACCATATTCAATTCCAGTCAAGGGCATGTACCTTGGTTGCGGGCACATCCCCAGTTGGGGGTGTGCAGGAGGCAGCTGATTGATGTTTCTCTTTCATCGATGTTTCTGCTTTCTATGTCTCTCCCTTCCTTTCTGTAAAAAATCAATAAAATAAGTTTTTTTTTTAAAAAAAAAAAACAAGTTTAAATACACAGATATGCATTACAGTACTATTTAAAGAGCAAAAAGAAATCAATGTATGTAATTAGACTTTAAATACAATGAAATGTTCATCACACTTATACTAAGTATAGATTTTCTGTCTATTCAATAACATCAAACTGAGAGATATCTGGGAGATGTGCAGGTAAAGGAAAGAAGGCAGAGAAAGTGGGCAAGGCCCACAACATGATGTACCCATGGTATTGGGTACCTTCAGTGTACCAGGCTTTGTTCTTGATTCTGGGAAGTACAGCAATAAAACAGTCAGACCATAGTCTCTCCCTCAAGAAGCTTAAAGTTGAGTGGGGGAAGACAGGCAATAAAGATAATTTCAGGAAACTCAGCATTTCCTGAGATGTACTTGAGATGTCAATGCAAAATAAAAAAAGCTCTATGATCAAATAAGTTTGGGAACACTGTGTACTCAGATTCCCTCCGGGAGATTATGATGCCAACATTACAAGCTCTAACAAGTCCTGCTATAAGGAAATCCAGCATAACCAAGCTTGTCTGATCTTAGCACCTTTGTTTAAACCTAGTTGAAGCCCATTCTTGTAACCTGGTTACAGACCACTCTTGGGAAATGCTGTTTTGTCTTATGCAGTACCTCTAACTCTCAGGGGCGTTCATGCAACAGTAGCAATCACACAGGACCTCACAATTGTTTAAGCATACCTACTTCCTTGATCACCTGGGCAAGAAGGGACACTTAGGTAAAAAACAGAAAGATTGTGTGCAATAGGAATAGGCCCATCTTCTCTGTTATCAAAAACATCTCCCCATCCTGGCTGGTATGGCTCAGTGGTTGAGCACGCAACCCATAAATCAGG